AAAAAAAAAAAAAAAAAAAAAAAAAAAAAAAAAAAAGGGAAGAAAATATTAGTTAGACTTCCAAATTAACTTAGAAGAGGACTCAACCAAGAAAGATGCTTCCTCGTTTACAAACTCTTCTGTTACCAGATAAAGCCAATGAAACAGGAAATATGAGTGAATGGAAGAGGTTACTGAGTTAATCACATCTTCACTTTCTATAATTTCATTGTTCCGAATATCATAAGATGATTGTTTTTGGGTATTAAATCAAAATTGAGGTTTGCAGGAAGGAAAAAGAAATCAAAATTTTGGTTGAAAGATGCAGAAATTCATACCTTTCCAACACCAGGTGCTGCTTCATTGGGTCTCGGACGCGGGATTACAACGTTTACTAATGCACCTGCAAACACACAATAAAAACCACTTGAAACCAAAAAAAAAATCAGAATCAAATAAGAAGCATATGTCGGGTGGGTGTATAAAGATAGAAGGCTATGGAGGCTTCTGTCTGCAAGTTATTTGTCTGATTCTTTCTACCAGAATGTGAGGACAAGAAAAGGCTATAAAACAGAGGTATCACACAGAAAAAAACAAACAAGAAATCAATGAGTATGCATGAAGCTTTGAAGTTCTATAGAGTCTATGTTGATAGGTACACAACCAACAAATGTGTTCGTTTACCAAATTTTCCGCCTTCCCCTCGCATGTCTTCCATGATATCTTCGTAGTCTTCGTCATTAATAAGCTCTTCCGGGGTAACAACTTGTGTAAGACAAAGAACCTTGGTGGATACAGCCCCAGGCTGTAGCATAAGCTTCTGAAAAAGGAATACGGTAAGATAGTGATAAAACTAAGATAATATTTCAAAATTCTAAATATTGCCATGTTATATACAACAAACTTCGGAGCTACTTCTGTTGGTCTTGATGTTATATACACAACATATTAGCAACCAAGTATAGTATAAATTTCAGGTCTTGTTCTCAATGAATCATTCATGCTTCACATTATCAAGCACACTCGTTGCCAGAGAAAGAAATAAAATGCATACTATTCACCACTACAAGACATTTGTCATTTTT